GTGTTGGCAAAGCCTAAAATTCTGCAATTCTCTCAACTGTGGCAATTTGTTGATCAGGGTTTCAGGTCGGTATATTTATAATCACATACATAGTACAAAATGCACACACATCACGACCTTCGTTGTGCTGTTCAAATTCAACACAGGAGACAGAAAGTTGATGCACCTGAAGCACGACTCCTATTTTCTTCTCCACATCGAAATAACTGTTAACGGTTGGAGTTTTATTCGATCATTCCTAATGGCGTAAAAACGCGTGTAAGTTGTTCAGATTCATTTTAATAGAGATTATTATACACTTGGACTTGTAATATTTTGGGAAGCATTTGTAGATCCCTGCTGCGTAAAGTTTTTATCATTGTTGCCTACTATCTCCGAAATCATCATTTCCTTTTTGGCTTATATTCTGCACTTAAATGTCAAAATGTATGCAGACGAACGAATGTAGATAATATTTATGAGGCAAATTAGTTTTCATGATCGATGGTATGTAAGGGAAGTAACGTAGCGAATAATTATGCTGCGACAAATGTCAGCAAACTCATGGGTTATAAATCTTCGAATAAATTGACCCGCAACTCTAAAGCAAGGCTTGTACCCCAGTCCACACAACTGCATATTTTGGCAACCGGTTTCCACCGGTATATAGGTCCGCTTACTCATGGGATGAAATCAGCATCGTTTGATGCAGGATCGTATTTGGATGACAGAGTACATAGGCCAAAACCAAATTAGTTTCGGCTATACTACTTTTGACTTCAATTATTCCCGAGCTGCCATAAGCTATAGCGCAATTTACGGCATTTGTGTAGTATATCTTAGTGCTAAACCGTCGCTGAAAGAAAAACAGAAGCGACAAAGCCTGAGGACTTTCACAAATTGAAAAGTGGTGGCTAAAGATAGAACCATAGGTGGGCAGTGAATGCGATGATGCTTGTGCGAATCAGTCTCTTCATACCACCTTCAGTAGGCGTCTTAGTTGCCTTCGGATCAGTAGCAGTAACAACTCTAATGCTCTGATGGTGATTCTGAATGATATTGGAGTTTTTTAAGGAGTGTTACATGGAACACCCAGCGTCATTTCATTAACGCATTAACGGATATTGATATCCTGGACATCTCACCTTGGGAAGAAGATTAGTTCCAGTCTACTAAATAGATGTTTGGAGTGGTCTGACAGTCCAAATGACATATCTTGCGGAATTCAACGGGTGTCCACTCCTCTGTGAGCGTTCGCTTCAAAGTATCGACGGTTTGATTGCCTGGCTGAAAGTTTGATTGTGGGAAGTACGATGGCGAACTTACGCGCGTTGGGACATTTCCCTGGCAAGACCCTTGGTAACAGCTAGTGCTGAACTGGCATCCGTTCTTGACACTAAATTATCCGGCAGGCCCTTCTGGCTGGAGAGCTAAGACAAGGCAAGTATGATATTGGGTGTCGTTGGCGGGGCAACAGAAACAACTTATGGTCACCTGGAAAAGGTGGGATACGTTACGTAACACCATCAATGGGTCCAGCGTAGTCGACAGGCACCGGGGAGCAGGGGAGTACGGGTAAGAGCCAGGCATCAGGCGGAATGCGCGGAGGTGTATTTGCAGACTGTTGACAATCCCAACACTATCGAACATATTAAGAGATGTCATGATCCGTGTGGTGCTAGTAGGCGTGAAAATGAGTGATTTATTTATTCTATTTTATCCCAGGATGCTCCGAACGAAATACTTTAGGGCTCGAAAGCGTAAAAAGCATGGCACTACCACAGGATATTTCAAAATGTGGCCGTCGCCAACGATAGGCAATGAATCCACATGGTAGAAAGGAGTTTGGAGATTTTGGGATTTTGTCGGACAACATGTCCTGAACTAATGGATCGCTTGTTGCAGAATCGAATTAGCCAAAGTTTCACGCCGGATATCCGGCACCAACTGGTGGGGCAGGGACGGTTTGGAGCAGCTGCTCGCTGGAATGGTCATCGGCGAACTAGGCCGTAATGAGTAACTCCTCTTCTGGGGAAGTATGTTTACCGATCAGTCATGAGAGTGTATCCGCTTGGCCGTGCGTCGATAGTGGATATTGAAGCCGTAGTAGGCAGGGTAAGCAATCAACGTAGCAGCCGATTTTTATAATGAGTGGATACGCAAGGTTTGGAGCCAAAATTGACAGCAAGGGCTCGTATCTCATTTTGCGTGATTGGCGGACAACAAAGAATAGCGCCAGTGCCTCTTTATCAATTTTGTCCTAGTGTTGTTCCGCTGGGGTAGGTGACCCGGATGTGTGCACGATCGCCATCTCAGTTCCTTTCGGGAACACATGGAGGATAATAGCACCGACGCCGAAGGGGGGAGCCACAACTGCCACGACAATAGACAGCTTGAGATCATCATTTGATGGCAGCTATCCGGAGCTGAGCATGGACGTTAGCTTACAGAAAGCAGCTTCCCATTCTTCTGACAAACCAAGGGCACGTCTTTTCTCAGAAGATGATTGAGCGGTGCCCATAGAGTGTGCAACGTTGGCGAAAATGCTGAACAGTAGCCAAGAAGTCCCAAGGTGGCCGTCGCCAACGATAGGCAATGAATCCACATGGTAGAAAGGAGTTTGGAGATTTTGGGATTTTGTCGGACAACATGTCCTGAACTAATGGATCGCTTGTTGCAGAATCGAATTAGCCAAAGTTTCACGCCGGATATCCGGCACCAACTGGTGGGGCAGGGACGGTTTGGAGCAGCTGCTCGCTGGAATGGTCATCGGCGAACTAGGCCGTAATGAGTAACTCCTCTTCTGGGGAAGTATGTTTACCGATCAGTCATGAGAGTGTATCCGCTTGGCCGTGCGTCGATAGTGGATATTGAAGCCGTAGTAGGCAGGGTAAGCAATCAACGTAGCAGCCGATTTTTATAATGAGTGGATACGCAAGGTTTGGAGCCAAAATTGACAGCAAGGGCTCGTATCTCATTTTGCGTGATTGGCGGACAACAAAGAATAGCGCCAGTGCCTCTTTATCAATTTTGTCCTAGTGTTGTTCCGCTGGGGTAGGTGACCCGGATGTGTGCACGATCGCCATCTCAGTTCCTTTCGGGAACACATGGAGGATAATAGCACCGACGCCGAAGGGGGGAGCCACAACTGCCACGACAATAGACAGCTTGAGATCATCATTTGATGGCAGCTATCCGGAGCTGAGCATGGACGTAAGCTTACAGAAAGCAGCTTCCCATTCTTCTGACAAACCAAGGGCACGTCTTTTCTCAGAAGATGATTGAGCGGTGCCCATAGAGTGTGCAACGTTGGCGAAAATGCTGAACAGTAGCCAAGAAGTCCCAAGAAGGACTGAAGCGTGGAAACATCCTTGGGTGCTGGCATCGCTTGAATGGCCCGTTGGTGATCTCAAGATCAGGGTCTCAAATGGAGTCATGGTGCAGGAGCCCGAGCTACTTAACAGTTGCTATGAAAAGCGGGCGCTGTTCAGGACTGAGTCAAAATCCGTTGTCCTGAATGCTTTGAAGCACCATGTTGATTCGCGTGCGCAGTTCATCGGGAGAGGCAGCGACAATTAGCAAATCAAGGCAAAAATGCGGCAATATTTTGCGTGGTGCGAATGTGGCCGAGAGCAAGCTAGAAAATCTACTCAAAGCTTCAAATGATATTGCCGGAACAATCTGGAGCAGCAACGCTGGTAGCGACCGCATTGCAGGCGGAAGTGAGTGAGACTGAGTGAGTTCAAAACCAAGACGGTCAAACATATCAAGACCAAGATCATTCATTTCGGCAGCGCACATGTGACGCGATCCAGTAAATTTCATTCAGTTGAATGAGACTGCCTGCAGTCTCCGGAAAGCCGTTTTACCACCACGAGCATTGGTGGCAGTTATGGAGGATCTTCGAACTGGAGGTCGACGACGCATTCAATAATGATATCCGGGGCAGTGTCTAACCACTGGGATCTTTCGTCCATTAATTCGGACAGTGAGGAATTTCCGGTTAGATGGAGGACTGCATTGAAACGCTACGCACAGACTAAAGACGGAACCCATCGGATTAGCATTCTTGAAGCATTGCTGTTACCTGCAGACGCCATGGAATGTACTGGATGAGCGCACCTGTCAGTGTCCTTCTTTGAGACCCATGGTCCTGCATTGTCATCACCAGTATTGTGTGTAAGGTCACAGCCTGGCTGTATGCCAGAGCTTGGAGTCCCAGTATAAGGATGGGGTCTTCTTCTTTTGAACATTCTGCTGGCTGAATTGGGCATTATCAGAACGTCACAGACCAGAGCGGGGTGGGCTAAAGATTTCCGCATCAGAGGGTTTGGAGCCCTGGCGAGTCGCATGGACGCCGGAACCACTTTCACCCGCAGATTGCACCAAAGTGATGCCATGCTGTAGGTTAATCAATCAATGGTACTCGTCAGCAATGACGTTGAGCGCCAGCAAAGTGTCTTGCTCAAGACAGTTGTGAAGCCGCATTTGTGGATTTGGGAGAGGGGAAGCTGCATAGAGAAATGAGGGATTTGTATCAGTCATCTGTGAGCGACTTCAATTCGAAACGTCAGCTTTCACCATGAACAGTCCAAAAGTCGTCTGGCTCGTTCATAACTAGCTTTAAACAGCGTTAACGTGTATTCAACAAATAAGATCGTTTCCAAAATTATGAATCATAGTCATCGAAATAGCCATCCCCAAATAAAACAGAGACTACTTTTTCCCTGCATATTTTACGGCTATTAGATGGTATGAAATACCTAAAGTTGTGGTTTGTTGATTAAAAGGATTGTGTGAAATATTGCGAGATTTATAATTATCAAAAGCATTTTGTTGGACAGGCGCTTACCACTTGCAGCGTTCCGTATATTTTTGGTATGCGTTAATGTTGATATGC